CGAGTAATTCATTGTGATTGTGTGTGTCCCAGGCAAGTGTTTTGAAGTGCCAGAAAATGGGTCGCCGTTACCGTCAGAAGACTATCGGGGGGGGTCCATTCAAGTTAGTCGACAAGCAGCCCTGTTGCAACGATCTTCTGTCTGTAGCTTGACTAGCTGATAGTTGAATCGGAGTTGTCATTGTCATTGTTTGCATGCTACGGTGTGAAGATGCCGCCCGATGCGGCGGTTGGTATGCACTCGAAACACGCAGAGAAAAGCAGGAGGCAGGAGGGATTCCCACGGCTTCATGGGTACCTCGTACAACCCCCTGCTCTTTATTGGCTACTCGGGTGCCAGGGTTAGGGTTAGTCCGGCATGCGTTAGCAATGTCAGCGTTCCGGGTTGGAATGGAAGCGTAGGTTCATGTGTCAACAGGCGGGCCAAGGCCCTGCGCCAATGGAAGAAGTCTTGCGCATGCAAAAAATGCGGAAAGGTGTTACGACTCATGTCTATCGTAAATTGAACAACACGTATACACTCAAACTTTTATGGGTACCGCGGACACTCTGTTTGTCACGTGCCGTTCCCTATCATGGTGGCAAGAGCGAAGAGGCACGTGTCGTGTAATGCCTGTTGAAATGTTCTTTGGGCACAATCGACACATGTTGTCGCGAGCGCTTGCCTCATGGCCGTGCTTGTCGCATGGAAGCGTTGTTGCTTTCGCCAGGAAATTTGTCGTTGCTGTCGTTCATATCATAATTCTTCACATGAAAATACAGCGGCAGTCTCTGGTCAGCGCCATCTAATATCCGTACCCGTCTGACGCGCACGTCTACCATGGTCACAGGCCAACTACCCGACAAGGGTGCACACTTTGAGAAAGACTATACGCCAGGCATCGCTGGTGTCAATTGCTGGGCATAACAACACACAAAAGAGTCCAACGCTCTCGCAGGCAAGCGCCCGCTAACAAAGCAACAAAATAAGCCAAATTACGACATCGTCAGACAAACTTTGGGCCCGTACATGTAGACCGGGGTGTAGCCACCGGTGCAGCTGCAACCCTCATGCGCTGCCGATCAGGTAGTACCTACACATCCACATCCCACTTTGCGAAGGCTGCATGTTAGACCACAAGGCAGACAGGTCACGCACGCATCACGCGGTGTTCCTTTACAAAAATCAAAGCATACATCAAGACAGGGCGGTTGTTTCTCGGCACCCTGCTTGGAAAGCCCACGTCCACATCCGCATACATGCATACTTTCATCACGACAACAACCCGCATCTCCCCCTAACCCTACCCGACGACAGTCAGTGCTGCGGCATAAAAAAAAACCAAGACACAATGAAAGCAACGGACATACATTCGGCCGCAGGTCCTCATACAAATCAGTCGGCCTTCATCCACGACGTTCAAGACATGAATGCAACACGCCAACATGTGGAGGTGTTGCGAAGGATGATGACAGCACCTCTATTTACTCTCTAAATGCCTCCACCACAGAGGCCTCCATTTCCTCATTTCCAGGCCACACTGCCCGGCAGGCATGCGTGAAGTACTCTGCTCTCTTCAGCTGCACTCCCTTCCCACGCGCATTCATCGCCATGGCCCCGTCGTAGCACGCCTGTGGCATTGCATGCATTGTGCGGAATACACACATGATGCACGGCAGTAGTATTAGACCTCTAGTCTACAGTTTAGTGCTGTATGCATGCACACATGCGTTCAAATGGGCGGAGAGAGCTAAGGTTGAAACAAACTTCGACAAAGCGAGGAGTTTGCCCGTCAGCGATCACTGCTGTGTGCAGTTTGGGCAGAGCGGGTCGAACAAGCAGCAGGATGGGAAGGTGTAACTATGCATATGCATACGACAGCAGTAGCGTCGGGCGAATGGAAGGTGTACCTATGCATACGCTACGACAGCAGCAGGGTCGGGCGTACGTTGAAGTTTGCTCCACCTCTGAATGTAGCATTACACTACTGCGGCTGTACAGCCCTATCTCTTTCTGGGACCAGCAGCTCGTTCCTTTCTCTCTTGACTCCGTGCTCCTTGGGCAACAGTAACCAAAGCCTTGGTGCTCCGACAACAACACCAAACAACAACAGCTGCACCCGCCCCTCTGCCTCAGGCAATACTCACTTGGTTGCGGAACTTGTTGGCAGCGGTGGAGCCCGATCGACTTGTCACGTCCTCGGTCCGCACGGCTGCTATAATGTGAGCGTGGTAAACCCCACACAGACCCGGATGCTACACCGTCGCCTTCTTCGCAGCAGCGAGGGCCATGCTCGGCATTGGCTCCGGGGCGGTGTCGTGATGGCAGTACTCAGCGCCAACCTTCGCGGCAACCTCAAACGCAAACGCGAGCACCAGGCAGGGTGCTGGTGCCTTCTTCCGCCGGCGTGTTCGCCGCGATCAGCGACACCATCGTGTTCCCGGCCTTGTACCCCTCGACGTCGGGTGTTGGCATGTCCATAGCTTCGGGGGCTTCTGGGTGCTCAGTTCGTGTGCTGTGGGCTTTGTTGCTTTGTGGGCGTGAAGGGAGCGCTATAGACCCGGCAGGGCCCACATAGGGGGGGGGACAGAGAAGTACAGAAGTACAAATCCCTGCTATAGGTCTACATAGATGATTCTATAGACGATTTTGTGATACTGAATATACCGTATTCTACACAAGATACCACACCCTCATAAGATACCACACCCCCCCCACAATACCACACCCCGGTGGTAATTTTGGGTGTATTTTTCAGACCATGATTTATCACCGGGGGTACACAAGATACCACACCCCGGTGATAACACAGGTTACGCCGCATACATTCCCTGTCTCTATCACCGGGGGTGAAACAGCATCACACACGCACAGCTTGTACCGTACGGGGGGAGACATGGAGACCTCAGAGAACATGAACGTGCGGGAAGAGCAGAATGCCGCCGCAAGTACATCTGCTTCTCCCACGACTGCTTCGACCGCAGCAGCACAGGCGCCACAGATCACCTCGTTCTTTCAACCCGAGCAGACTTCTACGCAAGCGGCACACCCCCTGTTTATCACACACCCGAACACACTCTTTGGGTGTTCCGACGTGTTATCACACCCCATTTTATCACACCCCCTTTTTTATCCCACTCCCAAACCCTCCCTGTGGGTGGTCGCATGTGCTACCACACCCCCTGGTTTATCACACCCCCTGAGGAGCTCCTGCGAGCTAGGCTTTATCACCGGGGTACACAAGATACCACACCCCCCCCACAATACCACACCCGGTGATAATATTTTTGAAGCCCAAAATGTTATCACCGGGGTGTGGTATCTTGTGTAGAACACGGTAAATTGGTTTAGGCAGCTTGATGACTCATCATTTCAAGGTCCAAAAGGCCGACATGCCCTACCGGCCGCACTGCGACCACCCATCGACCTTTCTATGACCCTGTCTGTGCCCACCACGCTCGCGCGGGCTGCCCTGATGGCCTATGGGTGGAGATTGCTGCTGCATATACACAATAACAGCAGTATCTTCTTGCTGCACTTCTCTCTCCTCTGCACGACAGTTGTCTCCCGCCCCATATTTTTTTTGTTTTTGGTGAAAAAAAAAGATGTTTCGAACGGGACCACTTAAATATATATATATATATATATCTTGCCGATACCATCGCGGAAAGCCTTTTTGTATTTTGCTTCGTGTTGCTATGGACCTCACCTTTCTTCTTTTAAGCCTAAGTTTACTCAATTTGGTGGAGGACTTCGTTCTACACAGCATTCTGCGCCAGGTGATTATGCTATTTTTTTTGGTGCTGTGTGGTGGCTTCGGCTAAGCCAGGTCATATTATTAAGGTATATAAATAGTGGCAGTTTTCCAAGAGCGTGTAGGCCACTGTGTGGTGTGGTGTCTAGCAGCTCTCGCAAGCTCAGTAGTATGAGGCAGGTTTGAACCTTGGGTCATGCACTTACTTGCTTTTTCGTCCGCTTTTTTTCCTTTTCTTCTATTTTGCCCCCTCGATTTTCGTCCAAATGGGGGCAAAATCGCATCTGTGTGTCAGATAAGGACTAAATCAACCCGGATGACAACAAAAATTTGCATGCATGGTGTCCATTCTAGGGGTGCTTGCCACGATGCCGAAGAAAAAACGGGCAACAAACACTTGAAATCTCTTCTTTGCGTGGTGCCCAAAGTAGGCCATTTTTGACCCAAAAACAAAAAACACGGGGATTTCTTGTTTTTGTCCCCGGGCATGCATGTTTTTTTAAATACTTTTTTCGGAAATGCTTTGTATTAAGGAAAAGTTCTGGAAATCATTAGAACGTGAGCAATCACTACGAATTCGAAGTGGTCCTTAATCGGGGCATTTATTTGTGTTTCACCGGTAATTATTTTCCCTGACAAATAAATGAAGAATACTACCCTGGCACCATGTCATCACCACATGCATTTTTTTTGTTTTTTGTCGTTTCATCTTTTAGGTCGTGTTATATGCTAACGTTCGATACCTCTCTGTCGCCACAAATCGTCAAGACACCCGAGAACGACCTCTCAGAGCGGGGGCTCCGTTAAGTGGTCCTTAATCGGCACATTTATTTCTCTACACGTGACTCTACCGCATGCAATTAACCCGGGCCCAAAAATAACAGCTGACTCCGCGCTACCTACCCGTGCTTTCCGGAGTCTAAGGGAGATGCCCCCAGGCCATGCGAGTGCGTTTAGGATACGAGAGAGTGTGTTTAGTTGGTTTGATTGCTCAACCGAGTGGTGAAGCTGAGCAACGGGCGCCATACATGGATGTGCCGGCTGTGGATCCTTCATCATCAGCTACGGCCCTCGCCCGACTCATTTACCACGCACGCCTGGTGCAGCGCTACAAGACGACGCGTAGACGAAGAAGATAATGATTTCCATACATACATGTGCTGCTACGTCTAGTCTATGCGTCACTCCCTCTGAGATCTGCACCTTACTCACGTCGAATCATCGGGATCGGATCCATCCCGCCTGCCAACAATCCTGACATGAACACGTTGCATACCATGGACGCCCCTCACATCCCTGGGACTTGCCTTGACACCCGAAGGTGTTGATTTCCTACGCGAAAACAGTCTCGTCGTCACTTCCAGTCAGTGGAAGGACAGAGGGCTCGAGTTTTTCACGTGATGACGTTGTTTTGTGAGTTGGCATCGTTTGTGTGTGTGGAGAGAGAGCCAAACAAAGGGCGAACGAGAGCTATTTGACAGTTTCGGACTCAACAAAATCCCGAAAGTAATAAGGAGCATAGACTAGTCTATTTATGTTGAGTTAAGCCGTCGTTCTGAGGATCGCTCCTGACAGTCTCGCTAGAACTCACAGCAAGGAAAAACTTTATTTACAGATTTAAGTGCCGAGGGAGGCTTGGTTTGTGGAATGTTTTTCACGATTTTTCGATTCTGCAACAACTTTCTTCGGAGGTACACATCACACGCACCACCGCACGCACACACAGCAGTCTGCTAAGAACATGTCAGCGTGGCCAAAGAGAAGGCCAGCGCCCAACGGAAGGCCTTGAAGTTGGCGCGCCACCAACACAAAAACAGGGAGGCTGCACGGTCAGAAAGTTGGGTTTGTTTCCGCCTGGCTTGAGGTCAGCAATACGCCCGTCAGATTGAGGCAAGGGGGAGGAAGAGCGCACAAACCTAGAGGTGGTGGCAATGCCGCCAGCAAAGAAGAAGAGCAGAGAGGAGGAAGAGCACGTAGTGGCCTCCTGGTGAAGGCGGGCGCGTCCTTCCGTGCGCAAGAGTATTTTCTCTGGCGTCTACTAGAAAGAAGAGCGTCTGACTTGGATGTGCTTCCCGGTCCCAATCCCCCGTCTCTCTCCCGAACGCTTGAAACGCGACATAGCACTACTACTACGTTCAGAGGCTGTCGTCGGCCAGTGTACAGTAATCACTTTATGTCTCCGTACTACTGGTGTGGTGCGATTTCATGCGCTGGGGTTGAGGGAGCGACGCAGACACGGACACGTGCACGCACGCACGCACACTCAGCAGCAGCAGCAGTGAGAGCCCCTTGTCATCAAGCAAGGTGCACAGCTAGCTGTCTCGCAGCGCACCACAAAAAAACAACAGCACCTTCGGACAGGGGAAGTTCGTGAGAGGACTGTTGACCCACAGCCAATCACATGAAGCCGCTTACATCTGATCTGAAAAATTTCACCTGCACGAAGTTTCCAGGAACCTTTTCTTAAACCGGAAAATTTGGAGCCCCATGGGCCAGTCCGAAACTGTGTATTGACCGAAAAAACAAAACCTATGATTGCAGCATTATTATCCGGAGATGCGGCACTACCGATTCGGCCAAATTCAAACGAGTCAATCAAACCACCTACTGCAGAGGTTGTGACGTGTCTTGCACCTTGTGCCTCCGCCTTCCACCACCTCCACGCCACTGCAATATGCACTGCCAACCCTAGCTCACGATCACTCTATCTCCGGCGGATGTCCGAGCTGAAATCAAGAGCGTACCCGAAACCAGTACAACATAGCGAGCGGTAGTACACACGCTTGCACTTGTCGCAATTACGGCATAACTTCCGAACTCTCGTTGCAGCCTTTGTTCTTTTGGCCTGCTGCTCTGGCGAATGTAGAGGGCGGAGTCTCATCTGGCTGTGACATACAGGTAAATGGAATTTTTCGTTCACGCCACTTGCACGGACAGCGGTAGCCACCATTCATTACTGTAGCAAGCACTTTTGTTTTTACAGAGGAAGCAGTTAAGAGGCGAAGTCCTCGCTCAGCGGTAGCCACCATCATTGTAGCAAGCACTTTTGTTCTTACAGAGGAAGCAGTTAAGAGGCAAAGTCCTCGCTTGGTAAAAGGATGGCCGATTACCAGAGAGTATCTAGCCTCTTAACAACGCCTCGCGACGGATGGTGGTACACCTCATCCACACGGAACGTTCTGAAGAACGGTCCTTTCTTCCGAGAACGCACCGGTTCCCCCGACCTTTCGATGCCCCGAGCCCTCCACCACGGGGAGGGCCAGCGGTGGAAGGGGAAGCACTGCTGTGAAGGGACGGCATGAAGCAAGGTAAGCATTTTCCCTACAAGGAGGATCCACACATGCTTCAGCACCACGGGTAGTAAGCAACATGCCATGGCTCAAATCTATCGATAGCTTGAAAGAAAGCAGCAACCGCGAGCTTCTGGGTACAGCTGTACTACATGCAGACAGATCCCAACACTGCTGTCAATGAAGAGTTGAAATTGGTAAGCTGCAAGACCTCTGAACCCCGCACACCTATTTCGGATCCTGTAGACATGCCAACACCAAGCTGCTACGCCGTAGTACAAGCGCGTTTGAATCGGTGGTTTGAAAAGTTTCACCGCGACCGCGCGAAGCACGAAAAGGCGAGACGCTCCCACCCCGACCCTGCCACGCTGGATGCTGACTTTTCTCCCGTGGTGAGGGCTGCGGGCTTGACTTGACACCGTCTACACCTCACGGAGCTTCGGGTAGCCACGGCTATGCTGCACGCCGGCGCAAAGAGCGACCAAAGAACACTTCCAAGACCACGAGTCAAACAACCTGGTGGACATTATGCACCGCCACGAGGCATACAGCAGTGTCCCTGGGGCAAGCGCGGTGGCCCCGGAGCTTGCGGCATTTCTGGAGGCATTCATGAGCAGCGGGTTCGGGGAAGTACTGAAGAACAAAGGGTACGT